TGGAAATCAGTATGGAGACCTGTTAAACAACTGAAACTAGAAATTCCATTTTGCCCAGCTATTCCTTTTCTGGATATGTACTTGGAAGAATTAGGATCATCATGTTAGAGTGACACACATATCCATGTTTATAGAAGCACAACTCATAATAGGTAAATCTTGGAAGCAGCCCAAATGTCCATCAGCAGCAGATGAATGGATAAAGAAAATGTGGTACTTATACACTGTGGAATACTACTTAGCCATAAAGATGAAATATTTCAGTCACTTGTGGGCAAGTGGATGGACCTTGGGGCCACAATACTAAGCGTAAAAAATCAGACACATAAGGTTAAATACTGCATGGTTTGTCTATATAAGAAACCCATAATATAAATAATTTGAAGAGTAAAATAAAAGAGCGATGATAGGAAACAGGAGCAGACTGTGGAGATAGGAAGGGGACTGAACTGGGAAGGACAGCGGAGAGCAAAGGGGGACGGGAGAGGAAACAAAGATATAAGTACTGATTCCCCCACGAATGTGATGATGTATTGCAAACAACACTAAGGGCTTTTAAAGAATCAGCCAGCCCTCCCAGAGCCGCCCCAACTGACAAGATGGCAGGCACGAGCGCTTTGTCCACGCCTGGCCTGACCTCTGACACAGGCTTTCTTGTGGGAAGCGTGGTCCCCATCTGCTCTGGGCAGTCTGTGTCCTCTGCTGTGCAGTGTGGGGCTTGACCCTTCACCTGCGGGACACCCAAGCCCTGGCACGTGTGCGTCCTCCGCGTCTCTAGTTCAGTGTGCACTTCCCCTCAATCCCAGTTTGCTGGCCTCTCTGTCTCCTGGCAGTGAACTCCTGCCCTCACCTCCTGAGCCTTCTGCATGAGGAGCACACCTCTGTCCCTACCCAGCCTCTGGGAGCTGCAGCAGAGGCAGCCACTGCCCAGTGTGACGGAGGTGCTTCTCCCACACCCAGGGCAAACAGACCTTGCGGTGCATCAATTCGGTGTGTCAGGCTGCACGGGAGGTCCTGAGCCATCCTGGGCAGCACAAAGGTCTTCCCTTGGCCAGCACTGAGGAAACGTGGTCATGATAGACGGGTGACTCCTCTTCTCTCAAACCCACAGCCGCTGCGTGTGGATCCAGGCCTCACAGACCTCTCCCCTGTGCTTCTGAGGGCAGTGTTTTTTTTCTCTGAGCCTCAGAATAACTCTGCAGGACCAGTAGGATGAGATTAATACCTATTTGGCACTGGTCCAATAGAAGCTCAGAGAAGCCACGTGACTTGCCCGAGGACACATAGTTAAAAAGTGGAGGCGTCACCCCACCAGGCTAGGAGGCAAAGCCAGCCACCTCTCCCTTCCGCCCAATCAGTAAAAAGCCGCCCAGGGTTACGCCTCTAGAAAGAACGCCGGCCTCCCTAAAAGGAAAAAAGAAAAGACCACAAAGAAAAAAGTCCACACCCTGGGTAGGACTTGCGGTAGCACAGGTTTTGCTTTATGACTCTTCTGCTACTGTGCTGACCTAGGGGCAGGGAAGAAAACGCTGTGTGTTTCCTGTGCAAACCAGAACAAATTGCAACACTTCCTGTGTGGTGCAGGCACTCCGCCCCCGGCCGGAGCGAGCCTCTCTTTCCTGGAGATGCACAGGCAGAGTTCAGGGTCCCTGCCCAGCCATCCAGGGCAGCAGGGACGAACCAAGCATGGATTCTAAGGACCAGAGCTTTGCTCTCCTGACATCCGACACCAGCTGCCCCGGGCCTCCGGGACCAGGAAGGGAGCGGCCTGAGGGTCACGGCCCTAGGAGGAGCAGCCGGGTGCCGGGTGGGAGGAGGAGAAAGGTAATCGGTCAGTGGCATCTGTGCTAGCGCTAGCAGGTGGGCTGTGGGAGTCCAGGTGTGGGTGCCCGCCGAGGCAGAGGCTTCAGGATGCAGCCCGGTGGCTGAAGGGCCTCTGCTTTGAGTCAGACAGGCCTGAGTTTAAGTCATGTGCCATCACCCGCGTGACACTGTCGTGGGGCCCCAGCTCCTGTGCCTTCTCCGGCTGGGCCAACAGCATTCTGGCAGCGGGCTGTGGATAGGCAGTGAAGCCCCTGCGGAGAACGGCAGTGCTCCTGCTCCGGGGTGATCCCTGCTTCCCTCCCTAGAGCACAGCAAGGCAGTGACTGTCACCCTTTCTCCAGCCACAGAGGACAGAGGAGGAGGGAGCAGACAAGGAGGAGAGTGGCTGAGGCAGGAAGAGGCGGTGCCCATCTGGCCCTCGCCACCCTTGGCTGGGCCCTGGCAAGCCCCTGGCACGCATACGGAGCTCCCAGTCCAGTGGCATGCTCTGGTGGCGATCAGGGCAGGGAGCCGGGGCAGCGTGGGCTGAGAGCCCAGCTGCTGCCCAGTGGCTTGGAGGAGGTGCCCTGTGGGCTGGGACCGGAGGATGACCTTAAGGAGCAAGAGTGCCGGAGCCGAGTGTCTGCCTGACTGGGTTCCATTAACGAATCCTGTTCTGTGGAGTTCCCCACGCTGCAGGGGACTACCTGGGCCCATTTCACTTGGCAGTGCCCTCCCTGGCCGTAAGCCCTCTGCAGGCCCTCCGTCCCATCACCAGGTTTAGTGCCAGAAAGGAAGCGCAGGAAGCACGCCCCGCCCTCAGGAAGCCCCTCACGCTGTCCAGCTTCCCCGCTGGCTCTCAGAGTCCCACCTTCCCCGTGCCAGGCTGTCTTCTGACTCCCATCTGGGGCGTAACCCTCTGTAAGGGGGACAAGGAACCTGAGTGACAGAGCTGCCACATAGCCAGCCAGAGGTTCCACAGTCCTAAGTAATGCAGCAGGGGGTCAAAGTGGAGTCAAAGACATAAATGTAAAAATGAGGCGGAGATGTTGGCAGTGGGTCTCAGATACAAGGAAGCCTGGAGGAGGAGACTTCAGGGAGATGGGTAGAGAGGCCTTGGCGTGTTTACCTGGGCACAGCTGGATCCAAGGCAGCAGAGAGAGAAAAAGGAGGAAATGCCATTCTGCGCGCTGGTGACATCCAGCAGCCCGTGGCCTCCTCAGCACTGTAGGCAGTGCTGCCCTTGGGAAGGGCCCTACGGCTCGGAAAGGTCAGGTCACTTGCTCGGGTCCCACAGCCAGGGGTGGAGCCATGTGGCCCTGGAGCCCAGCTGAAGGAGGCGGTCAGGCAAAGAAATGCCTACCGGAGCCCACTAGCATTGCCTTCCAAGCAGCCCTCTGCTGACTGATTTTGGCCTTGGGCGGCACCTGTCCCCTCTTCCCAGCCTGTGTGCCCCTGGCCAGCCTAGGATGCCAACACTTTCTGCAGCCTGCTTGTGCCAATTGGCCAGCAACAGGGGCCATGGGGTCCAGGTGTTCCTGCTCCATGCTGGCTATGGCACCCTTGGGTGGGGCTGGGGAAAGACTCCGTGGAGCAGATGTATTATTCTCAGGTAAGACTGTGTCTCCGTGCAGGTGCTTATTCTGAGGAGCTCAGACCAGCCTGCAGATGACACTTCAGCCGGGAAGAATGTGTGTGTGGGCATGCGGGAGTGTGTGTGCTCACATAGGTGTGTGCATGGCTTGCGTATGTGTGCATGGCTGCACGTTTCTGTGTGATGTGGGCCATCTCAGGCTCCCTGTAGGCATGCAGTTGAAGAGTCAGGGGTATGTGGGGGCGGGGAGTGCCAAGCAGCTGTGACCACCTGGGCTGCGGGCCCCAGCCTGGGCAGCGCCCACAGGACAGCTCTGTGTCCCCTTTCCTCCCTGGGGGACTAGACGAGACAGGACAGTTCCAGGGATGGAAGAGAGGATGCACAGAAAGCCTGCTGGTGTTCCTGTCTAAAATCACGGTGTGCAGCTGCTCACAGGTCCCCCCAGCAGGCGTGTGCGGGGTCCTCCTGTAGCCTGGCGGGACCTAGACGGAAATCCCTCCCGCAGCGCATCCTCTCCCTGTCTCCCGTGGGCATGGTGAAGCACCCACTCCCCAACTAGGGTACAATCCAGGTCTTCCAGGCCTGCTCTGACGTGTCTGCTCTCCCTCCCCAGGACTGGTCCTGCTCGCTCCTGGCAGCCTCGCTCGCGGGCGCCTTCGGCTCCTCCTTCCTGTACGGGTACAACCTTTCCGTGGTGAACGCGCCCACCCCGGTGAGTGTTCGCGCCCTTGGCCCGGAAGGGGACACTGGATTCTCAGGCTGCGGGTGGTCTGGGCGCCCGAGTTTGTGCAGCCTTCGGTGCTCCAGACCCTGTGCTGGACATCAGGGGGAGGGGAAGCCAGTCTCGTGGCTGGAGTGTGGGTATCCTGGGGCAAGGCTGGGTGGCCCAACCGGGTTTCCAAGGTCCAAGGAGGGATCCTGGGGGCGCTAAGCCCAGGGAAAAGGCCTGAGTGCTAGTTTCTGGAAGTGCGCGTTTTCTCTGCTGTTCATTCTTTTTGTTGAGCCATAATCATGACCAAAAGCCACTCCTGTGCCTGCCTGCTGAGACCCAGCCCTGGCTCCTGTTTCAGACTGAGATCAGTGCTGGGTTCGATTCTTCAAGGCCTCCTCACCACCTGTCACCCAGGCGAGGTGTGCTGGCCGCCCAGGCCACGGGCCTCCTGAGCAGGATGGAGGTGTGAGGGATGCCACCCCGGGAAGGGGATGCTTGCTGGGCCCCATCTGGGAGGCCGAGGGCTTGGAAGGACGGACACTGGAGAAAGCAGGACAGAGCCGGGAGCTTCTAGGGCCTTTTCTGCCTTGGGGCCCAGCGTCCCCGGTGCCTCACCTAACCAGAGGACCTGGGGCCTGTGGAGCTTCAGTTCTGGAGCACGCTGGGATTGTGGAGAGATGCCTCCTAATTCTGGGCTCTGTGTGTGTCAGGACAGATCTGGGTTTTTAAAAATTCTGTTAGCTCTGACATTTGTGTAGGTTCATTTGAAAAATGAGTTCTGATGCTAAAAACTGAAAGCCGGGAGGCCAAAGGTGGCTTCTGCAGGCACTTGCAGCGATCAGCGACGCTTTTGTCACTGTAATGTCACCCTGAGAGGGGAGCTGACTTGTCCTGACTTCTCTCCAAAGGCGAGCTGGGAATTCGGGCCCTTGCTCCATCTCGGAAGCTCAGCAGGCCATTCAGCGGGGAGGGAGGGGCTTCCTGTTCGTGGAGTGTGGGGCAGCCCTGTGAAACCCGTGCCTGGAGTAGCGCCCTGTGGGCCGACCCTGTGGCCTTGGGAGTGGGCAGCTCATTCGTCTCTACCCATGCACTGAACGCGTATTTGTTCAGTGCCTGTCACATGTCCATGCTGGGGATCAGGGAAGGCAACCTGGAGGAGGTGGCCTCCAGGGTGAAGGATGGGGAGGATTTCCACAGTGGTGCAGGGAGAGGCAGGGAGCTGCAGTGCATGGGAAGCTTGATTGTGTCAAGGCAGTGCCCTGCTGGGAACAGTAGAGGTGCCACATGCCAGTGTCCAAGGAGAAAGGGAAGACAGAGTGGCAGAAGAGGTGAAAAGAGGGGTGGAGCGGGAGGAGAACCTCAGATCTCAGGCTGAGGAGCAGGATGTAAGTCTGCAGGCACTGGGGCGCCAAGGCAAGATCAGGAGGTGCACTGAGGCAGAAGCAGGGCTTAGGGTTTCAATACATGCATTTGCGGGTAGAGGGACATCATTTAGTCCATCGATGCTACCCTTACCTCCTTGAGAGGTAAAAGGCTCAGTGTTTAAGCAAGGTGCCCGAGACCACATGGCTAGGAGAAAGCAGCACTAGAATTCAGATCTTAACCTGTCTGAATCGAGCCTGTGCCCTTTCCTCCCGTGTTATTGACCACCATTGCCAGACCCCACATGGTCAACTAAGGCCAAGAATGACCACAGGACAGTAAGGGGTCAATGGCAAGCCAAGTGGGTCATTCATCTGACATCTAGACATAGTCTTTAAAAAGCCCAGGGCTTCTCCACCTCTGATACTTGGAAACCTACAACAGGGGTGGGCAAACTTCTGCAAGCCTTCAGATTGTGAATATGTAGCATTTGCAAAGCCATATGGTCTTTTCCACAATTATTCAACTCTACCTTTGCAGCAGCAACCAACCATAATACTAGTAAATGAATGGGTGAGGCTGTGTGCCAATAAAACTTTATTTACAAAAGGAAGTAGCAGGCCTGGAATTGTTGATTAACAGCTATGCTTGAGGTTCTAGTGTAGGGGACAATGACTCTTAGCATATAATTTTAAGATAGAATAATTCTAGTCTTAATGCAAGCCTCAAAATGCATCTTGAGAAACATCCCGGGAGGTTGTAAAGAGTTAACTTTGCAGTCCTGACTTAGCCCTGGAATGCTTCTCCAAAGACAAAGAACACCGGGGCCCAGATAACCACCTATGACCCTGCCTGGGTTGTTTCATCCCTTCCCTGGCCCTAGATAAACATTGTAACCGTAAGGGAAATGTCTGGTTATCTAAAGGGGGACATATAGAACAGAGTACAGAAAGTATATATCATTGTGGTTGGGCTCATGACCGGAGCCTGACTCGGTCACGTGGCACAAGGAAAACAACATGTGGCCAGGGCTACAACATTCCAATCTGTTACCATGGAAACCAAAAATGTATATAACCTGGGAACAAAGGCAGGCCCGTGCCCTCTTCCCGGACTTGCAAGTCGGGATGAGAGGTGACCAGTCTAAATTAAAACTTTGTCTGTTCTCTTTGGTCTCTTGCAGAATACAGCCCGAATTTTTGCCATAACACTAGGAATGGGTTAGGCACCTGGGGATGCCTGGTGGTCTACTGTATCTTCTGTCTATCCATCTACCTAGTCAGATGTATCCTGATGCCCTTGTAAAAAGTGGAAAATCCGAGGCTAATTTGCATACTAATCAAATGGATATGATAATTGCCTGAGTTCTCAAGTAGTGGCACATTCAGGCTGGAAATGCTAACCTGAAACCTGGATAATGTCCTTAGATTTATGCTGTGTGAGCTCTGGCCTTTCGGGGAGAATGCTGCTCTTGCTGGGCTGGCCTCATCGGTGCTGTCAGAAGAGTCTGGGTTGCTGAGCTGAAGTGGCCAATGTCGCCTTGGTCCCTGGGAGCTCCCAATGTGTGGCTCCCACCTGAGGGATCGTGAGGGCTGGTTGGAGACACTGCAGCTGCAGTGGGGTTCTGATTGCTGAGGGCTGTTCTCTGCATGCTCGTGGGTCCCATGGCCAGGCAGGCAGGGCAGACACAGGCCTGGGTGGGGTGAGGATTTTGTCGGTGCACAAATCAAAGCCCCTCTTGCTCGCAGATTGTCCAGAGAGCCTACAGGAAGATTCTAGAAGCAGTGTTTTAAAGAAATTTGAGGTCCAAGACAGAGTGGGGAATATGGAGCTCAGACTGCAGGCCAAGGGACCCAGCAATGACAAGGACCAGGCTGGGGAGGACAGGGTGCAAGAGGAGCATCTGGTGCAGGGCAGGGGCCAGATGGGTTCCAACCCAAGATGTATGAGGGTCCTGTGCCACAGGAGGAGTTCACATTGCACTGCGCCTGAGAGGATGGGAGTCCTTCTTGGCAGAGTGATCACTAGGGCGTCATCGGGATGAGCCACTGAGGAGGATAGAGGCGCAGATGCACAGGGGTGCTGGCCAGAGACTCGAATGGCAACAGACATCAGCAAGCAGAGTGGGGAGGGCAAGGGCAACAGGCGGGGAGGCCAGGCCAGGGCTGCTTGCCGGAAGGAGCATGGGATCCCACAGATCGCAGTGTCCTTGCATGTGGAGCTGCCAATCCCTGGCTCCCTGGGGTCTCGCAGAGCAGCAGTGGCACAGGAAGTTTGCAACCACCTGACGTCACAGTCCACGAGACAGCCCTCGCTCCAGAGCCCTAACCTCGGGGCGCCCAGGCCACCCACACCTCTGAACATCCAGCAGCAAATGTGGGAGTTCCCACTCCCACTCAGGTTGTATTAGAAGAACTCAAGGAACTCAGAAAAGTGCTATCCTCACAATTTCAGTTTATTACAGCAAAAGGATGCAGGCCAGAAGGAGCCAAAAGAAGAGATGTACAGGATGCAGCCCTGGAAGGTCCTGGCACTCTTGCCCGTGGGATCTGGGTACATCACTACCCTCGCCTGACGAGTCCATCGGTGTAACCCTTCGCCCAGGGTGCCGTCTCCCAGGGACCTCCAGCCTCCAGAGTGTCCACTGGGGTTTCATCATGTAGGTGTGACTGATGGGACCTTTGGCTGCCAGATTAACTCAATCTCCCGTTCTCTCCTTTCTGGAGACCGGGCTGATGACCCTTGACACAAAGCTCCGGCCTTTTACCACACAGTTGGTCTTTTCGGCAAGGTTACTTCCCACCCCAAGTTATCTCATTTGCATATAATCATCACTCAGGAAATCCCAAGGACTAAAAGATGGCAGGAAAGTAGAAGGGAGACTATTCTTGGTAAGAGAAAGAAAATAAGAATAGGGGGAAAAGTGTAAGATCGGGCAGTGGTGGAATAATATAATCAAAATATGACATATGCATCTATGATAATACCATGTTGGAACCCAATATTGTGTAAAATTAATAGGCATTAATAAAAATATATTTTTTAAAAGAAAGAAGGTGGGCATGGTGGTACACACCTGTAACTCCAGCACTCTGGGAGGCTAAGGCAGGAGGGTCACAAGTTAGAGCCCAGCCTGGGCAACTTAGTGACTTAGCAAGACCCTGTAACAAGGTAAAAATTAAAGAGGGCTGAAGCTGCATTTCAAAGTGAAGGTCCTAGGTTCAATCCCCAGTACTGGGAAAGAAAAATAAAAATAAACCCTAAAGACTTACAGGCTACCTTCCAAGAACCAGGGACAAAGCGCAGTCATGTTCTGTAATATACAGCCATACATTATAATATTACAATGTACATTACACAAATGTGTATTATAGATAGTAATGTTGGTTAAGTACATTAGTGAATGAGAGCAGGAAGAAGTGAGAAAAACAGAATGAATGACAATGTAGCTTCAGGGGTCTCATTTATGACCTCTCCCCACCCCATTTAAATTAAAACTTTTTTAAGAGAAAAGAAATCAATCTCCAGGAAACAATCATGAGTGGTTTGGTTTTGGTAATGAATTCCCCACCTTTCTGTGGCTTCAGCGCTGGCAGTGTTTTGTCTTCTTGTGGATGGGTCTGAATCGCACACCCCTGCTGTGAGCATTTAAGCCCAGGGTTTTCAGCTGAGCAATTAATCCAACTCCCCATAAATTTCCCAGCAGAAATTGTCCATTCCTTCATTTTCCTCTGCCTGCTCCTTCCCTCAGGGCAGATAAACAAATGATAAAAAGGAAAATCAACATCTCTCTCTACATGAGTGCAGTGGCAATGCCCAATTAACTGCAGGTATTTAAAGCTGGTCAAAGATTCGAAGGAACTCACAGATGGGGAACTCGCAGGGCGAGTCCAGGGCTTCTGACCAGCCCAGCACCACTTTGCCAGAGTTGGTTCTGGGAGCCCAGATGCAGGCGGCAGCAGCTGAGGTCACAGGAGGCCCAGGTTCATCTTGTCACTGCGGAAACAGTGGGCAGGGATGCTGGTCAGATGAGCGTCTCTGCCTCCTAGCATCTCTTCTCATCTCTCTCTTCTTTCTTCCCATTTGCTGTGCCTCCTCTAGTCTCAGTAGTTACAAAAGCAATGGGCCTCTATTAGTACAAGAAAATAGCTCCGAGATTTAATAATAAAATTCCTAGTCTGAAATGCATTCTGGGAGTCAGGGACAGTATCTCTCACTCGCCCACCGGCCACACAGGGCAGACACAGGGATGACAACCTCGTTTCACAGGTAAGGGGAGACTGAGTAGCTCGCAAGGCTGCTTGACTCGTAGTGTATTTGGGGTCTGAACACAAACAGGCTCCACCCAGAGGTCCTCTTCAAGCTTCATCTAAACCCACTCTTTCCCCAAGATCATTCACACATGTATTTTACATCGTTTGGGGTGCCTAATATTCACATGGAAAGCATCATTCCGTGCTGTTGGACGTTGTCCAGCACCAGGACTTTACAGCATCACATGGCTGTTCTTCCAGCAGCCCATCTGCAAGCTTGGGGTCCACCTCCCTCACAAGGGCTTCCTCAGTTGCTTCTGATTTTTCTCTGGTCTAAGATGCTGCTCCCTTGTTTATACTGGAAGCTGTCCGTCACTGTTGGGTTGAATTTGATTTAAATCAGAGCTTGGGGAGTTGGGAAGGACAGGATCCTCCCAGGCCTGGGTGTCAGCGTCTTGCTGTCCAGGCTGGGGTGTGTGTGTGTGTGTGGATCATCCCCCGCTCCATGCCCTGGAGGTCTCAGCTTATTAGACCTGGACCACCTGCACCTTTGATTCTGAGCTATCTCATCTCATTGGGCTCATCTAGCAGAAGTGCCTGTTGCCCTCATGGGAAGAGCTCACAGAACCGCTGTGCCTCAGGGAAGCGCTGCTCGGTGGGGCAGGGCAGTGGGTGGTGCAGTGAGAGCGTGGACAGGGGACCAAAAAGGGAGCGGGAAAAACATGGAGGGAACATGCACATGTGAATGAACAACAGCGCATAAAGCTAGAAACATCCTCTTCAGACCCACAGGGAAAGACGCTGAGATTTATAGAGCACCTACTATGTGATGGCCTCATATTAAGAACTTCAGTGCCTCACGGAATCCTTCTAGCAGCCCTATCTGCAAGCTGGAGTTCTTATATTCATTCTTAAAAAACAGGTATTTTAGAATCGGTGCCCCAAACCACACGCTGAGCTTGTATTTGTTCAGATGCCCTTTGCAAGCCTCTGCAGGCTCAAGGCTGACTTTCGACAGCCAAAAGCAATCTGAGTGGTGGTGAAAACACTCACCTTTCCATTCTAGCCAGAGGGCACACAGACAGGAATGTGTGGAATGTGTTGTTGCGGATCTGCTTGAGCGCACAGCACCCTGGAAACGGCTCTGAGATCTCTCCAGAGATTCCTGCTGAAGGACAGAGGCTCAGAACTCAGAGCCGTGGAATGAGAAGGATACTGGTGGTGCCCTCCCTCCCGCTTGGGGCCAAAGAGCGAATGAAACTTTCTTCATGGTTTCTGTAATTAAATGCAAGAGTCAGGCTGGAACCTCACTGCAAAGAGCACGGACGGAAGGTTGTCCGCGGAGGCTGGGAAAGCCCTGCTCACCTGACTGTTGCTAGCAATTGATACATCCTCTCCCACACAGTTACCACCCACACGGAAGCAGCCGTGGGGACAGAATACTCTCAGGACCCCGGAAGTATGGAGGCCTCTTCCCACCCACACGGTCCGCCAGTCACGGTCTTCCCAGGAAACACAAGGTGGGGAGGAAAAACCACCCGGCCTGCAGATGACTGATCAAGTCACAGAGGAGCTGGGGTGTCAGGGTCCCCAAACCACTCTCGGGTAGATGCTTCTCTAGGAGAACTCCACCCAGGCACATGGGGACCCCTGTGGCAGAATCCACAGAAGGAAAGTGCAAGGGGTAAAGCCCAGGGGAAAGCAGACTCCGGCTGCCATGCGTCCCCTCCAGCGGAGCGCATGGGGTGCTTGCCATCCTCCCCAGCAGCAAGCTGTGGAAGCTTATATGAAATTTGTCTACCAGGTCAACTCAGCAAAGTCTCAGAGTCCAGGGTTTCTAACAGGGGCTGCTCCCACGGGCCCCTGTGTTCCGGGCACGTAGGAAATTCCAGGCCCCAGGCAGCATTGGCCACACCGTCCACACCACAGAGCAAGCACCCACAGAGCCGCTCTCCCCTGTGGTGGGAAAGTGGCAGCCCTTCCCAAACCCAGGTTTCCGACACCAGCACACCACGGCCTTGCAAATGGACCTCTCCAAGGAGAGCATGTCAGGCCTGCTGATCACACAGCTGCACGGATGCCTTGGCGTGCGAGTCAGGTGACATGGCGTTACAGTGCCCGGCTTGTGTGGCTCTTGTGTTGGAGAGCCTGGTTTGGTGGCAGCACGTTTGCCAGGAGTGTCAATACTGTTTTTCCACTGCATCAGTGTGTATTCTGGTGTCAAGTGTCTTTATCCACCCCTGGGGCACTGTGGACATGACTCACTCTCATATGTGACCTGTGCATGTACTGTGGCCCACCATCCAACCTTCTACTTATGAACATTTTTATGGTGACCCTGAGAATAATTTTAGATGAATGCATGACATGCTCTTTGTGAAGCAATAAAGAGCATTAATATCGTAAATCAGGCTACAAGGTAATTTGCCTCCCGGTGGCTGGCAATTTCCTGTCATCATTTGGAAGATGAGAATTGCAGGGTTCAATTTGTTGCCATAAGTGTGGCCCTTGAGTTCTCAGGCTGGGAGATAATGGTGAATTATTAATAGATTCTTGGACCTGAGAAATAATCATGTCTAGCTAGGTGCTTTATTTTACATATACGGAGATAATGATATTGACACCTACAAAAACCATTGCAATTTTTAGTTCTTACTGTGTGTGTTTATGGATGCAGAGCTGTGCATAATATTCGTCCTCACATAAATCCTCATGGTAACTCCACGAGGAAGGCAGTGATTTCATAGATGATGGCCCAGGAGCTCAGAGAGGTTAGGGAACATAATTGGTCTCCCACCAGAGATGTGACAGGTCCAAGAGAGGAATAAAGCAGATGCCAAAGTCCTTAACTATTGAGAACACTGTCCAGAGGGTCAGAATTCCTGGCTGAAGTCACTAAAGGTCACAGGGCCCTCAGTGGTATATGCAAGTCTGTCTCCTTTCCTTTAATCATGTAACCTCTTATTGTTTCCTAACAGCTTGAACTCTAGGTAGTTCTAGTCATAATATAAATGCTTCCTTGGTGAACTCATAAAATATTCCATCAGACTCATCTTCTCACACCAAATGAGGACCCTTCTTGCTGGCCCCACCTCCTTTACACTAAACTCTCCAATAGGCTTCAGGCTACATGTGTGATGGACATTCCAGCCCACAAATCAGAGCTTTCCATCCCATGTTTACCCCTTCAGTTGCTTCCCAGGGATACACAGAAGTATAGACTCTACAGGCTTCAGGCAAAGCTAGGTACTACCAACCCCACCTCCTTCTCCAACTTTTCTCCCAAGGCTGGACTACCTTCCACCTCACTAGGCCATTTACAGTCCACTTTGTCAACACATGGCCACCAGCTTCTGCATCTTGAAGCTTCTGCTGCCTCCATCTGCTGCCATCCATCCCAGTCCACCTGCACTGCCTGCTAACCTGATTTACAGCCAGGTTCCTGTAACCTTGTTCAGCCTCCTGCCATCGTGTACTTCTCACCCATGCTGTCGTGGTGCATTTACTGGGCTGTTGTCGCCACTAGAGCCTGAGCTCCTTGAAAGCAAGGGAGCCAGAACTTGTATGTAGAAGACAGGATAGAAGCATGCCCCCCCTGCCCCCATGGTAAGGAAGCAGATATAGAGAAATAGAAAGAAAGACACAAGAATGGGCCTCCGGGATGTAGGCCCAGTGGAAATGGAAAATATGGGCTCCAGGAAGGACATGGCCCAATATAGGCCTAGAGATTAGCTATCACAGTGGCCTAAACACGACCTTTTATTACAGAAGTCTTTCTTCACATAGAATCTGACAAGTTCCCCCAAAACATAAAAGGAAAGCTTGGCAAAGGCCCATGTCTCCAAGCCTGCCCCGCTTCATGACTTGGCCTAAGTCTTCCCTCCTTTGCAAAGCCTTGGGCCCTAGTGCATTCATCAAGGCATGGGTTTTATGTTTGGGTAAGCTAGCTGCTGTAACAAATAAGTCCTGATTCTCAGGTGCTGAATGCAGTGAGAGTTCTTTACTTGTGCATGTCACCGTTAAAATAGGTAGGTAGAGGGCTGTATTCCATGAAGGACCCAAACCATCAGAATAGCTTTGACCAGGGATTTGACATCCTCCACTGGTTTCTCAGAGAATGGTCAGCTAAGGAAAGAAAATGAGCATGAAGAAGGCATACAAACTCTTAATCCCCTAAAGGGTGGAGGTAACACATCCCTTCAAATCATATCCCTTGAGTAAGAAGTAGTCACAGGGCCCCTTCCAGGTGCAAGGTCAGAGAGGTCTGGCTGGCTGTGTGGTCCCATCAGAGTCCACGTGTCTATGGGATGTGTTTCTCAGCTGAAGATCTCTGCTATTGCACTGGCTTTCCCATTGCTAGGACATGATACCCAATGTCCACATTTCAGAGGAGGAAGGGTTTATTTGTCACATGGTTTCAGAGGAGTCAGTGCATGACCTGCTGGTTCCAAGGCAGGAATAACATGGTAAAAGACATACATACCTACAAGGGAGGTATTGATATGTCCTCTTTGTATTTTCTACATCAAGAGTTAGAATAAGGCAGTGGGTAAGTTTGGGGGTCAAGCCCAGGCTTAGGTCTTGACTACACCACACACCAATGGTGCAAGCTTGGGGAAGCCTCATACAGCTTTGGGTCTACCACTCCTCAGCTGCCCCAAAAAGAAATCTGTCATGGGGTGATGAAGGGAAGGAGATGAGCTCATAGATGTCCATGTCATAAGTTACACATGGCATATGGTAAATATGACAGATGAGATCCTTGTTTTATTCTATTTTTATATGGGGGTTACTGACACACAGCACAAACTCCATGTAAAACCTGAGCATGTATGTAAGCATCTGGTCAGTAACATCCACTACAGCTCACGTGTTCACAGATATTAGGTTCTGGAAGGTCAAACTGCATAACCTTCTTGTTTGTGCAATAAATTAGCTATGCAGCCCTCGTCACCTGACTCCAGCAATCACAGGGGACTGTCAGTGGGTCACTGCTAACTTCGCAGCTGCAAAAGGGATACTCACCAAAGGCAGCACTTAGAAAATAGCTTCAGGGAACTTTTGAGAGATGTGTTTCTATAGGGAGCACAGACCATGCTGCAAATATTGCAGGTGTTTTCAAGATTTCCCTGGAGGATTCTGCTCTAGTATTTCTCAAAATAAAAGAAATCTCAGCAGACTCCCAAAGCGGCATTTGACAGTGAGTGATCTGGAAGCCCTCCCTTCCCCAACAAGGCCTTGGAGTGCAGTGTGACACAAAGGAAAAGAGGTAATTTCCTCCCAAACAGCATCGTTTGGTTTCCTTATATTAATTCCGGGAAAATGGTCATTGCCGCAAGTGTGTAATGAGAGGCTCTCTAGACTGGGTGTTAGCTGGTCTTCTTGCGAGACACCTGTTTGCTTGTATTAATGCAGGACTGCAGTGGGGATCAAAGTCACAACCAAGAGTGCAGAGCTGGGTCTTCTGGTGGCAGGAGGGGTACCTGTGAATTCCTGGGTACTCATTACTTACACTGGCTTCACTGAGCAGCCCTAGCCCTGTACATCCTTGCTGTAGCCCTTGGCCCATTCTGTACTCTCTGCCTTCCCATGGTCCCTGTGGCCCCTTGCCTTCACAGTTATCACCATTTCTTCCTGGCGGACTTTGCTCTTTGGGGGTTATTGCTGCTGTATTTACTAGGGTCTGATAGAGTGTCCGGACGCTACAAGGGCTCAACTGGTATTTCCTCTGAAGCAGCTGCACTTCCCTGCAAACTCCCACCCCTTCATTGTGAACTTGAGAGCTCAGATAGTGGAGTGGTTGTGCTTGGGCCTGGAAGCCCGCAGCTGCAGCACAAACACCCTTCTGCTGCCTCTGAGCCACATGGCCATCGGCAAGTGATGTCCCTCTCCGCCCCTTCATTTGTAGGCATGCATTGATCACACCTTGTTTGATCGCATCTGATCCAGAGCTGCTTCAGAAAGTGGCAACAAGGGTGGAATAAGTATGTTCAAATAAGGGGGAAGCTGTTGGGCGGAGAATAATGGCAGCGTGTTCTCCACTGTAATAATTTTTTAAAAATGTAATCATTCACCGTATGCTTTGATCACACTATATGTGTGGGATTTTCACCCTCCACTGTGACAAGTGGTCTTTGTTTCCCACTAGAGCTCATGAGGAAGGAAAGTCCTCCCAAAAGAGCTTCTGATGCTGGGTAGCCCCTGGAGTACATAAAGACTTTGCACTAAGTACTTGCTGTTAGCTTGATGTCCAGCCATGGACAGAAAGGTGGCACTTGTTCAGAGAGGCTGCTTGAGGCATCTGGGTAGGGGCCTGAGGGTCAGTGTCACAGAACCCCCGGCAAGAGGGGCTGGTGGGGACTGGCTGACTGGTGGGAGTGGGAGAAGTCTCTTGGAAGTAGGCAAAGGTATTAGTTTTCAGGGGCTGCTATAATGATGTATTTATCATGATTGGATTAAACAACAGAAATATGTTGTCGTACAGTTCTGGGGACTGAAAGCCCAGGATCAGTGTGTTGGCAGGGTTAGTCCCTCTGAGGGCTGTGAACAGGGACCAACCTATTCCATGCCTCTCTCATCCATGGCTATTGTCTCCCTGTACCTCTGACCTTTGCCTCCCCTCTGCCTCCCTGCCTGTCTCCGAAGTTTCCCTTTTCATTAGGACACCGCTTGTAGTGGGTCAGAGGCCACTGTAGTGACCCCATTTTAACTTCCTTACTTCTGGAAAAAAGATCACATCCTGAGTACTGAGAGTTTTATCATGTGAATTTGAGGGAAAATTATTCAAATCATGATGGACAAAGATGAGGGAGAGTGCCACAGCCAAGGAGCTTGGGCCAAGGGTGGGAGTGAAGAACGAACTCATGGCTTTTGGCTGAGCAGCTGGAGAATTAGGGTACCACTTGCTAAGCTGAGAGGAGCCGATAAAAGGAATTCAAGGGAAGAAATAAAGGCTGATCGTTCCCATCTACTCTCCAATTCGTCATGTAAGGAACTTACGCCCCACAATGGCCAGTGGGACAATAAGAGGTTTTCTGGGCTTCTAGGAAAGTTCTTCTCTGCCCCAGTGAATCTATGAGAGGCCAGAATTACTTTCTCCAGCCACGCGTCATGCAAAGGCAGATGACTGGAATTGCTCCTAGGAGCCATCCTACAATTCTGGGTAGATGCAGCCCCAAGATAGTTCAAACTACAAAGCAGAGTGAAGCCACTGGAAGCACCTATGTGCTTGTCTATGGTCCTGAGCCATGAGACCAACAGGCCTTTAAGCGCACCACTTCTGTGAATCTGCATTCATGTGAGTGTCCCCACTGGTTAGCCATTTTGACTTGGTTCCTGTTACTTGCACCCAAGAACACCTTTTCATGTTATAGCATAATACCGGCACTGTTGGTCCATGGTTTCTTTGAGACCTGTGGCTGTGTCTGGTTTATCTCTGTGTCCAGCTCACGACCCAGTACTCAGTTCACTTGTTGAATGCATTAGAGGATGATGGCAGATCAGAGCATCTTGTGCATGAAGGCGTGGGAAGGTCATCACCAACAGGAATAGCTCTAGTTGTTGGTAGCACACTCTGGCCTTTCTCCGTGCTGTAAAGAAGGTAGCTGTGGAGTCAACAGGACAGAGAAAATGGCAAGAGAATGAATACCATGCAGGGAGAGGGCATTACTCCTCTCCTCCTCTCCTGCCACCACAGTATTTGCTTACGTCAGAGACCTGGAGTCTGCTATGCTCCTTTTGGCCTTCTCTAGCTCCTCCTTCCCCAAACCTGAACTAATAAGCCAATGAGTCCTCTCCACTTTTTTTGAGAGAGGGTCTCACTAAGTTGCCCAAGCTAGCCTTGAATTTGATACCCTCCTGCCTCATTCTCCCAGCTAGCTGGGATTGTAAATCCTGTCCATTTTACTCTCAGTATACATCTCAAATCCATCTACTCCTGTTAGCTCCACTGCTCGGCCCCTGCCATCAGGATCTTTGGGCCGTGCAGTGCCCCCAGCAGTCACTGATGCCCAGCTTCCTCTCCGGCTCCCCTCTGATCCCCTTGTCCCTCTGCAGCTGAGAGGTCCTCTGAAAATACAAATGTACCAGTCCTCTCTTTGCTTCGAATCCTCCAGTACACCTTGAGTAAAATCCAAGTAAAAACAATGCTTAGGAACATAACGGCCCACATGACCGCCCTTCCAACTCTCCCCAGTCTACCTTTTCCCCGTCCTTTCCCTGTCCACCCATGCAGGCTTCATTCCATGGACATCCCAAGCTTTCCTTCCCACGCCGCCATGGCATATGCTTTTCCCTCTCCCTGGAACAATTTCCACCATTTTTTAAAAAAAGTTTTAAAGGGGCCAAAGTGTATCCTACTTGTAAAAGACTATATAAAAATATAAATATACAGTCTCATACATACACTGAAACAGCACTTAAAGAATGATTACAAAGTCTAGCACCCAGGTAGCCACCATGCAGGTTAAGAATAGCGGGTCCTGCCAAGGATCTCTCTCTAATCTTGTCCTACACCCTCCCCCCCCCCCGTGATAATCACTGATATTTGAGATAATTATGTTTTTGGTTTTCTTTGTCATTTTGTCATCTACATATAATTGTACCCACAAATGTACAATATTGCATATCTTTGAGTCATATATGGAATCATAACTTCCTTTGTTTCTGTCTTCTGATCAGTATTATTTTTGGTGAAATTTTGCTTAGTTCATACATGTTTGTGACTGTAGTGTTTCTCATGCCTAATCTGCAATTTATTTATCCTTTCTACTTTCAGTGGTCATCTGGGTTGTTTCCCATTTGGGGTTATTATGACCAATGTGTTCTCACAGCTGAGATGTAATACATCCACAACTGAAAGGAGAGGTTTATTATCTTATGGTTTCGGGAGATTCAGTCCATGGTCAGCTGACTTGAAAGCAAAACCTGGTGACAGAAGTTGATGGTGGAACGAAACTGCTTGGTTCATGGCAGCAGGGAGTCAGAGCAGGGAAACAGTGCTGGAGAAGAATGGCTTAAGGACCATGTATAGTCCCAAAGCCCGTACATCTCCTCAAGGCCATGTTGTACATATACCCATGGCCATGGCACCATGATCCACCCAGACACACCCAGGAGTGTGCTTTACTAGTCTACTAGGTGTTTCTTAATCCAGTGAAGTTGACAGATCAGGATTGATGGTCACAGCTACCATGAACTTTTAAGTAGATATATCCTAAGTCCTGTGCAGAAGTTTTTCAAGGGAATTTTCTAGAAGAGGATCTGCTGGGTTGTAGACTAATGATGTCTCCAGCTTGACAAAATGATGTCAAACTATTTTCCAAGATGGTTGTGCAAATTAAATGCCCACAAGCAATGAGTGCAAAGGCTCACCACTACTTGGTCCTACAAGACCTTTTAATTTTTGACCTGTGTGGGGATTGGGTGTACACTCCATTCAAACAGTGAATGCTGTTCCAACCTTTCATGTGAGCCTCACAACAGCCAAGAAAGCTCACTTTGCAGATGTGGAAAACCAAGATTCAGCAGACAAATCATTATTCTGGAATTCAGTGCATGTCTGTGAGACCCAAAACTATGCTTCTTCTGCAATGCCATGTACTGGCTGCGCTAGAGCTTGGGAGTCATGTTTGGTAGAAATAGACAACTATGAATATATTGGGAATTACCCAGATCCTGTCCCAAATCCAATGACAGTGATGAGGCTCTGATGAGTGTGAAGATGTATCTCATTGTGGGTTTAATTTCCATCTCCTTAGTGACTAATGATGCTGAGCATCTTGTAATTGCCTACTGGTCATTTGTGTTTTTTTAGTGTCCATTCAAGTCTCTTTGCTGACTTGTAATTGCACCATTTATCTTCTAATTGACATGCTAGCACTGTTTATGAATTATGGATACATCCCCTTTGTAGCAATATTCTAAGTCAGCCTATGACTTGTCTTCATTTTTTTATGGTGTCTTTTGAATAACATAAGAATAAATTTGATAAAATCTAGATAGCATTTTTTATGTATTTTTATGTCTTATATCTCTAACCATTCTAAGATGTGTCTTTTGTTAGATATATACACTTTTAATACACTTTTAAGGTGATAGTACTAAGCATTAAAGTTGGAGAAGCCCAGATACAGTGGTGATCATAGGCTTAGGGGGCAGATCCAACTTGCCTTCTCTGTTTCATGCTTACAGAACTAGTCACTCTGTTTCTTTGAGTCTCAGTTTCCCCATCTGCAAAATAAGATTTAAAAATAAGGACCATTCCTAAAATTTGTTAGATGAGTCCAGTGACATAAATCTCAGACAGAATTTAGCTAAGAGCTGAACATGAAGAAAGTGCTTTATAACAGTTATTCTGTTTTATATGGTTTGCTTCAAGCATCAGGATGGGCAGAAGTAAATAACATGGTTTGTTGTTTATTTCCAGTACATCAAGGCCTTTTACAATGAATCATGGGAAAGAAGGCATGGACATCCAATAGACCCGGATACTCTGACCCTGCTCTGGTCTGTGACTGTGTCCATATTTGCCATCGGTGGACTGGTGGGGACACTAATGGTGAAGATGTTTGGAAGGATTCTTGGGAGGTCAGTTGGGGGCCATCTCTGGGGGTTCCCTGCTTATTAATTATCGAGTATCTGTGGCATGGTCAGGGTCCCTGCAGCTAACAGAACTCCGCTCAGACAGTTCAACTGCAGAGATTTCAGTGCCCCAAGGGGAAAAGGAGAAAATAAGGCCCCAGAGCCCGGGGAGAGCTGGGGCCATGGGCAATGGGCTGATGAGTGGGAGGTGAAGTTGTGGGATGGAAGTGGGGGGCTGGGATGTGTCAGAACCATAGGGGAGGCACTGACACTTCCTTGTCCCCAAGACCATCCGGAGAAGCAATTAATATAGTGCCAAGGAAGTACAACTGTTGCCTAATGTAGTGAGAAGTGACATATTCTGAAGTCTTCCAGTGTTCCAGGTGGGCATACCCACCCACTCTTCTGCTTAATTTGCTCTACTGTGGGGTTGGTAAATGAAGAGAGGAGTGAGAGATTTAGGGTACCTGTGCTACGTACTAGCTCATGTGTGGCTGAGCTCAGGCTGGGGTCCACACATGATGTGGTCTCAGCACTATGATCTTGGCATGGCACCAAGCAACTAAAGTCCATGACTGCTGGGCAACAGATATGTGACTGTCTGGTACCAGGCTGGTGCCACTGGCCAGGAGTACTGAGGTACTCTTCCTAAGCCTCTGGGTGGCGGATTCCAGACCCGGTCTATGGTCCTCCTGCCTATCCTGGTTAGAATCAGCCCTTCCCAGGCTCCACAGACTGTGACATCTTCCTGCCTTGTGCAAGGCCATTGCACTTCTGCACCACGGATGGCTCTTAGGAGGCATCAGAAGCCTCTCAGAACAGGGAAAGGAACAGTGCATTGAATGCTGTGGCCCAGCAAGTCCCAGCTCCTCCCCACACCAGCTATGTGACATGAGACATTGCTATCTCATTGCTCAGCCAGGATTTCTGTTGTGTGTAAAATGAGGTCGCTAAAAGTAGCATTACCAGCTCAAACACCATGGCACCAAAAAAGCAATGAGAAAGCAAAAGAGAAAACATGTTTAAAAGCATCTTAAAGCTCTAAGCAGTGGTAGAGTTCTCCCACCAAGCCAGTGGGGAGAGCTGTGGGGCTGCTGAGAGATCAGATCAAAGGCTGCTGGTTATTATGCCCCAAGCCACTGTCAGTTGCTCTCTTCATCGTTACAGGAGGGAAAGTTGAGTTGGTTTGATGTATCAGCCTAAATAATAACTCTGCTGAGAGGAAAAGAGCACCTTCTGCTCCATACCAGTGCTTGACAGATGATAAAGCATTTACTTCTTTGAACTCTTTTTAGATTGCTGTCTTTTACAAATGGCCAATGAGAGACCCTGGAAAGCTGAACAATTTACCTTATTGCAAAGAGTGAGGCTGAACAGGAATTCATACCCAGGTCTGTTTGACCACCGACCAGCACCCTTCCTCTGATGAGGGGCCATTTGAAACTCCTTCTCCTTTTCTCTTAGTCCTTGGCTATGGGTGGGGCTTGTCAGGGAGGCCGAGAAAGCTGAGCCCCAGGTGCAAGGCTGGAGAAGCTACAGCAGCAGCCTGTGTGGTCCATGAGAAGGTGCTCCAGCATGCGGCTAAGGCTGAAATTAGAACTGGGTTCTCAGGTTCAGGTGGGGGCAGTCACTGGCAGCTGCAGCAGTAGGGCGGTTCCTAGCAAGGTGGACTCTTCTCTTACTTGGGAGGAAATTGGGTGCAGGAAGTGCAGGGAGCCAGGCACAGACTCTGCCGCATCATTTTCCCTGGGTCTCAGGGCTGCAAGTTCTTCACCTGGGAAAGACCCTGCTGGGGGAATTCAAGCCATCCAGAACTCTAGGGAAATCCCAGGCCCACTTCTGGGCTCATCTGGCCTCTGCTTGCATGGCTGTAGTGACAGAACCTTCCTCCCGCATGAGACAGGACAATGGCTATGTTTGGCCAGGGACACTGGCCACAGGCTCAACTTCAAGTCCGAGCTCTGATACTCACAGCTCGTGGGGCTACATATGAGTTACTTGAGCACTCTGGGCTTTAGTTGGTTCACAGTGACGTGAAAGTAGAGTAACACCCATGTGGACGGCTGTCAAGGTTGAGTGAGGTATGGAGATAAAGGGCTCCTTCCACTCGTGGACATAGAGTCAGTGCCCAACTTTTTGCTAAGCACACCATCACCCTCATCACTGGCTCTTCCTGAGCTGTGTCATTCAATCACTTCACAGGGAGGATTGTGCTTCTGTTCTTTACATTGCACTAAAACTCTCCTCCTTACCCCTACCACTGGATGTACTTCTTCCCTGTGGAGCAAAGTGGAGGAAATATGTAAAAACCATAAGAAAACTCACAACAAGTCATGGAGCTACTTTGGTCTGTGCAACATGAACCTGTGAGCAGTGTTAGGACAGGGCACTGTTTTGGCATTTGTCCTTCATGAGCAGGAGTTCCAGGGTTTGGGCAGGGGAGCAACTCATTATGCAAGTCTTTGTGATTCGTGCTGTGGATGGGAGCAGGGATGCAAGCAGAGACAGCTGGCGCGATCTTTAAGCCTGTAAAGTGCAGATAAGCAAACCCCCAAGGGGAGCAGCTATGACAGTTGAATAAGACCAAATTTATAGAGTGTCTCATGTCACGCAGGAGTCTTTCTGAATGCCTGTGGCAGGAATGCAAAACAAACTGGCATAAGCCCAAAAGGGAATTAATTGGCTAACATAACTAAAATACAGCCTGGCCAAATGCAGTGGCTCAGATGATACCAAAAATACCCAATCAGATCCATCTCTTTCCTCCATCTCTTGGTTCTGCCTCCTTCTTAGTTGGCTTCGTACACAGGCAATCTCTCCCATGGAGGCTCAGGGAGGACCAAAGCTGAGAACCTCTCCTTCCAGGATGAATCTCATTGACCTGTGTGAAGTTCTATGCCTTCAGGGGTTCTCCACCAGGGACAATGCCGCTCCATCAGGGGACATTTACCAATGTCTGGAGACATTTCTGCTTGTCATGACTGCTACTGGTATCTAGGAGAGGCCAGGGAGGCTGTGAAATATCCTGCAATGCACAGGACAGCCCTACAGCAAAGAATTTTCCAGCCCCTGATGTTAACAGTGCTGTTTTACAAACCCTGACTAACAACATTCAAATGCACGCAGATGCCTGAAGGCTGTGAGAATGCCTCATGGCTGTGAGGCTGACCGCCGTGGCTTGTATCATGTGCACATTCCTGGAGCCACAGTGGGCAGAGACATGAGCACCGCCAGCCCTGGAACGGAGTAGGATAGGAAATCTTCCCAGAGGGGACAGGAAGGGCTGGTCCCAGAAAAAGCGCAGGTTCTCAAGAGTGCTGTTTTCCGCCTCTTTCTCTGCCCCTACCTTTCTTTAGCATATATCTTTAATTACTGCAGCGGGAATCACTTTAGCTCTGCAGAGTACAGTGCATGTGGCAATCATGTCTCAGTCTGCTCGAGCTGTCACAGTGCAGCAGAGTGAACACGGACATCTGTCATCTCACAGTGCTGAAGATGGGAACCCCAAGTCAAGGTGGCAGCTGCTTCCTGCTGTGTCTTCATACGGCCTTTCCTCTGTGCACACACAGCCCTGGTGTTTCTTCCTCTTCCTCTTCTGAGAGTCAGTAGTCGTATTCAGTTAGGCCCCACTCTTCAGGCCTCATTTAACTCCACATCCTGAAAGATCCATCCTCCAAAGCAGCCTCGCTGAGGACTAAGGCTCTGACACTGCTGTGGCTTAGATCAAGAAGGTGCCTACAGACAGGTCTTGTGGAAGGTGATGGATAACGGGGCCCACAGATCAGCTGTGCCGAATGGGCTGTGGTGGGAAGAGGTGGGTCACTGGGGGCGTGGCCTGGAACTGCGAATCTCCCTTTCCTGAACCTCCCTTCGCTCTCTGCTTCCTGGATGCCATGACATGAGCAGCTCTCCTCTACCCCGATCCTTGACCACACTGTTCCGCCTCAGAGCCAGCCAACTATGGGCTGTAACTGTGAGCCAAATGAGCCTCTCCTCCTTTCACTTAAGGAACACAAGTTCCTTAAGTTAAGGGCATTTCTCCAAGCAGTGAGGAAAGTGACCAGTGCACACAGGTGCTTTTGAGGACGTGATCAAGTCCACATTAGAACATATGTGCTGTGCTTCTGGCCATTTATTCTTTCAGGTGGAACGGTCTCAGAAGATCAGCTCTCTAAAAGCAGAACCCAGGGCAGGGGTTGGGGGACGTGGGCTCTGTGGAGGGAAGGCTATTCAGGAGCAGCCCATGAGGGAAGCAGAGGGGCAGGGGAAGGAGCCAGCCAGGCTGTGCTCTCAGGTCAGGTTTAGCCTTGTCCAACCCAGGGGAGGTTCTGGAGCAAAAGCCACACCACAGAGTTACCCTGCTCAAAATATCCCATCGCCCTTGGCTACAGGATGCCCTGGTATCAGGGGCCGAACTTCTGGGCCAATCTCAATCTACAGGAAGGGCCCCAGGGGTCGCTGGCAGCTGACACTCACAGAGCTGGGGTACAGGCACAGAGATCTGAGCACCTGCATGTATGCAGACGTTTCCCCAGGTGAGGCCCCGCCAGGCATGGATAATGAAATGAAGAACTACCGAATTCAAGCTGGGAAAGCAGGAATGGATGGGCATGGGTTGGGTAACAGATGTGGAAATGGTACGATCTTGGCATGAGGCCTAGTGGAGCTAAAGAATTGCTGGAAGGTATATGGAGGCAGCCAGTGTCTGCAGAGGATTCCCACAACACTGGGGCTTAGTGAAAGGTTTTTTCTAAGTTCAGACTGAAATAGTATCCCCTGTCTCTCTCACCAATTGATCCTAGTCCAGGTACCAGTTAAGCACGACACCACGGAAGGTGGCTCCCAGGCTTTCTCTGACCTTCTCCTGTCCAGGCTAAATGTCCCCAAGTTCTCTGACTTTTCTCCAATATCTTCCTCCTCCTATCGCTCTTCCTGTCTGCCTGGGCTGATAACCAGGGTCTCACAGGGAAGATTCTGCATGACTGGAGAAGCTCAAAACAACGAAC